CACACACACACACACACACACACACACACACACACACACACACACAAATAAATAAAAACTGTGTGCAAGTCAGTAACTGAGTAAATAAAGAGCATGAAGTGTTTTGTATGCTCGAAAACGATCAGGAAGTACAAATGTATTTAACCACATTTTGATTTCACGTCTAGAGCACCAAGCATGCATCTGTGGTACTGTACTGCACTAAACTAGTTTATATCATGTTTGTCCAACAGAACAACATGGGTTAATATAACCAGTTCTGAATCCTCCACTGCTCCTCTGTCTTTTGGAGTTCCACAGGGTTCTATCTTGGGTCCCCTGCTTTTTTCTCTTTATCTGCTTCCTTTGACTTCTTTACTCAGGAAGCATGGAATCTTTTTTCATTGTTATGCTGACGATAGTCAGCATAACAATGAAATAAATAAACAGTTTTTTTTCTATTTTAATGAGAAAAGCAGAAGCGATGGTGTATGGTCCCAGTGGCTCCTGTGAACCTTCCCCTGTTGATCTAGGTCCTCTGTTGCTGTATGTAAAGAAGATAATTTGTAAATTGGGTTTTAAAATGGACAAATTAAATTAGATTCTCATATTGGAGTGGTAGTCAAGGCCAGTTTTTATCATATCAAGCAGCTGATATAAACATATAATACATATATTATTCAGACATCAGATTTGTATTAATCCCCTTCATCTCTACATTGTAAAAGTCATGGTCTTATATTTGTTTTAAACTTATTGTTTGGAAATTGTTTTGTTTTTTAACGCCAGATAAACAGAGACCATGCTATTCTAATGACAATTATTAATTTGGACTTCAAGTATCTTCATGTAGATCTAAACACCACAAGTAAGCAAAGAAAAGATTACCCACTTTGATTGTAAAATTAAACCATTTTTAAGATCTCTCAGTATGTTCATGGTTATATGTAACGATAAATGATGAATGTCTTCTTATGCCCATTTTTTGTCTATGCTATTAAAGAGCCCTTTGAAGACAAGTTGATTAATAATAAAATGCCCCCTCGTCTTAGATAAATTAATGATAGTTTTTTTGACGTTTATGAACAGTGATCGCTGCAATTTATGATCTAATCAAGTTTCAGCGTGATGGGAGAGAAAATGTTGCTGCAGCTGAATAAAGGATGCACATCCGCCGTCTGTGCCTCATTGCGTGTGCATGTCTGTCTTTGTTTTCTGATGCACAAATACGCTCTGTCACAGAGTTCAGTGTTTGTCCTCTCTCCAACAGCTTACCAGCTGAGAACTTGTCAGCCTCCCCCTCCTGTTGCCAACGCCACTATCCTAACTGATGATGACGAGTTTGAAATAGGTTTGTCTCATTTTATTTCTCTTGTTTATCATCCTGGGACAACTTATAATAGAGTCACTTTTCCATAGACATGGGTGTATTTATTTGGGCAGCCATAGAAAATAGGCATATCAATTGTGTTTAGTTATTATTTTACTAATTTCATTGAGTTTTAAAACTGGATTGCTAGTAATGCTTTGGTTTTGATTTTATATATATA